TTAAGGATCATTGTATTTTTAATATAAATATAGTCCGATGCAGATAAAAGAGAGGAAGTGACAAACCTAGTCCCTTATGTATAGGGATAGGTTCAAGATAGTCCCATAAATATAATCTTGAGTAGTTTTGGCCTTTTAAGTTTGTTAAAAATATGCACTTTTAGTTTTCGTCAAATATTTGGTAAACTATGTATGTAGATTTGACCAAAACTTCGAAAGAAAAAAAATAATTTAGCGGAATCTCACATTCGAAGGTATAGTTTTTGCTGTATTGGTCTATTTCTATGGAACTATGCAGCTTTTTGAAGTGTAATTTTTATTATTTTCAGTCTATTTTTTGTGTCTAACGTAGTTATTTATTATTGCAATGCAATTTCTAGGATTTGATGAACTTTCTTGTATTTTTTGCAGTTCCATCAAATCTAATAGACAAAATTTGTTAATTATTTGACGAAAACAAAAGTGTCGCCTGATCTTCTTTTTTTCATATTCTTCTTTCTTGATCAAATTTCTAACAATTCATTCAACAAAAGATCATGTGAGTGGTTTTAATAATTGCACATCTTCATCCACCCTAACACATTCCATGTGGAACCCCGATAGCAACCACCTACCTCTTCTTCTCCCAAATAATGCGGAAACACACACACACACACCCAAAAAAAAAAAAAAAAAAAAAAAGAAAAAAACAAAAAACAAGCATTATTGTGTATCGTATAATTGAAGTGTCGAAGTGTCCACTCTTAATTTGAAATATCGAATTTGAGTTTCGAAAATAAAATATCTAGTAAAAGGCATGTTTTCGTTTAGTATATTTTACGCTGTACAAATTCAAATTAGTCGGAGTTTCAATACGAATATTAGACACTGAATAGAAACTTAAAAAAAATAAAGCGTCAAAGAGCCGACTAATTCAAGTCCTTATTTACCACATACAAGAAGAAATAAAAATTGGTGATTATTTTAAAAAAGATTGAGGAAGTTTTCTAAACATTGCACACAAGAGAATCAAAATATAATGTCAAATAAAAAATAAAAAGAAGAAGAAGAAGAAGAAACAAAAGATCCCGACTAATAATAGCTAGCATACAAAGAGGACATATATGCACTACAAGTTTTACAAATGGAAGACAAACTTATAAATAAAGCAAAATATTTTCTTGTTAACTCTACTTGTTTTAAAGTATCCTAATCATTTAAACGATGAGTTGAGCAATACCAATCCTAGCATAGAGTTTCTTTTAATCAAAATTTCTAGTAGAACGCTAGGCTTAACTTTCAATTTTATCTTACTTACAACCCTAAAATAGAGAGCATACAAATAGACGACCTTACAATTTAACTATTTGGAAACAAAAATTTAAGAAGCATGATGTAGAGGTGACCTACTGAGAAATATTTTTTTTGAGCGATGAATCTATAGGAAACCGCCCTCCTACCTCCACAAGGTAGGAGTAAGATCTGTGCACATAATACCCTTCTCAAACACCATATTGTAAAAATATATTGAGTATATTATTGTTGTTGTAGATTCTTTTTCTCAAAAAGAACCCCAAAAAGTAATAATGTGTCATTTTTTAGAAGTTTTGTTTCTAGAATTCGTCCTTCAAGAATTGAAACACTAACCTTATAATTTCAAGATTAGGGCAACCTCTAACTCTACAAAGAAAGTTCTATTAAGTAAATCAAATATTAAACACTAAAAAAAGGTGTACACTAACAAGAAAGTTCAAATGCAATTCCAACAACTTTTTAAGGGTACAATGGATATTACAATGAGTTGATTTTTTTTGGAAATTACATTAACATGAATGGGGACTCCACAACTCCACCGAGATATGGTTTGGTTTTGTGGTCCATTCCTTCTGGAATCTATCATAAAACTTGGATTTGGTCCCATAAATGTGGAACTGTAGAATTTTTCTCGTTTATTATACTATTGAGTTTATGAAAGATTTGAATTTGTAAATGTTTTTTTCTTAAATAGATAATTTCAAATAGACGTACGCTTATTACAATGATCTTTGAGCTAAACGAGAAAAGAATTTTAAGCAAACCATAGTTTTTTATACATCAAGCAAATTTATTGTCTATTGCAGGTTATTATTTTATTTTATTGGGTTATCATATTATGTTTGATTTGCAAAATTAACTAGCTTAACCTGATAATATATAAAAATAAAAAGAGTTACACTACACACAACTTAAATATAAAGAGAAAAAGGAGTTCAAATTCCAATAGAGACCAATAATACTGTTTGACTCAAAAGTAAGTTAATACTTTTTAAGCAAATCAATCAATGTAGAGGAAGGGGTAAATCGTAGTGAACATTAATTAATACTGGATCGAAGAACATAATAGTATAGATAAAAGAATCGATTAAAACAACACCTGGAAAGTTTTTATTGATTACAGAAACTCAGCCTGCCTCCCCTTGGAGAGGTTCAGGAAATTACAATCGAAATCCCCCTTTCTTCCCGGAGATAGAATCCAGGAGTATCTTTCTCCTCTTCCCCTGTCTGGAGCCCTCCCTCTTGGGGTTCTTTTTCCTTCTATTTATAGCCCAAAATTCCTCATGCTGGTCACATGTTGTTTGGGCCGGGTCGGGGAAATGACCTCCCCTCGTGGGGGGGCCTCGACCTCGACACTTCTGTCATAAGTAGCAACCGTTAGGCGTCCTCGAATTTGCTGACTGCTACTGCAGGATGGGACGGGACGGGGTCCTTGGTGCTGTGGTCGTGTGGTCGGATTCTAACCAATACAGTTAGTCCCTCCGTTCGTCGGGGTCGTATCTTACCGACCTCGGCGGACGAATAATGTATGCGGCTTAATCATGGAGGGAGGCAGATCCGCGCGTTTTTCTTCGGTCGTGTTATAAATTTCGAAACTGCCAGTAGGCGTCTCTTTAATGCTTCTTATGTCGTCACGATAGTTTCGAAACCGAAGAGCCGGCTGATAAACGAAACGTAGCTTTGTATCGGTGGTCACAGCGGCGCACGTTCCTGAGGAGCTGAATCGTTTCGTGGCCGTGCTAGGTTCTGGCGGCGACCATTTGTTTTTGCGCCCCGGAGAATTTGTATCTTATAAATTGAAGGGGTTTGCCACTCGTTTTTCGCACTTTATTGCTTATCCTTGAGAGAATTCCCAGAATATCTCCCCTTCTATCAGCCTGAGCTCTTCTTGACTCCTTTGCTCGCGATAATCCTGAGCTTTCTCGCTTCTTCCTCAAAGTTCTTCCCTCCGCTTCTTGTGAGTTAAAAATGACGGGAACTTCTTCTTTCGGTAGACTTCCGACTATCTCTCCGGTGTCCGGGGACCCTGCTTCGGCAGACGGAGACGTAGAATCGATAGAGTGCGACGATGTTCCTTCAATCGAGGAAATTTTATCCCGCCCGGGGAAGGCAGTGGTGGATTTCAGCGCCGATGGAGGTGCGGAGCAGGTAAATATTCATCCTCTCATAGGGGAGATCGGAATAGCGGATTTAAGGGCACGATGGGGTATTCCTGGTTATGTCGAGATGGTGCCGGCAAAGAGAGAAGATAGGGTCCAGATCGACCGTCCCGGGTTCTGTTCGTTCTATGCTTACCCCTTCTTAGTGGGGTACACACTTCCGCTTCCGATGTTGGTGGTCGACTTCTGCCGCTATTATGAGGTGTGCCCTGCCCAACTCTCTCCTTACTTGTACAAGTTGTTCCTCATGTTTATCAAGTACGCGGAGCTAGCCGGTCGGGAGGTCACTCTGAGACACGTGCTCAGCCTGTTCGCTCCTCAAAAGATTCACGGCACTATGATCCATGCGCATCCCCGAGGGTCGAAAGGTTTAGTGGTCAAGATGGACGACAGGACCAATCGCCGTTTTTTCGATAACTTTTTCTATGTGCGGACCGAGCATCTCGTAGCGGATCCGACTGGGTTTCCAGAAGTTTGGAATTTCGCTCGTACGTCTTCTTCCCGATCTAGTAGACTACCCATTTTGGCCTCGTTTTCTTTATATCGTGTAAATATTGATCTATTTTGATGCTTTGTAGCCGAGAAGTTACCCCCGCCTCCTTTGGAAGGGATCCGAGAATGGGTCGAGGCCATTCTTCCTCATACGGCGGGAGTTCGTACATGGTCGACGTTTCATCTGAGATTCGGACGTAGGCCCCTTACAGGAGAGATAGCGCCCTTATTTTTTACCCGTTTGCTTTCGTTTCGATCTTACCTTTGTGTTGTTTGCCGTGGCCAGGGAGGATTCGCAGAGTCAGGGCTCCTCAACTAGCCTTCCGTCGGTCGTCTGCGTCTGCTCGTATCAGTGTGGTACCTGCATCTCGTCTGTCGAGGGAAGCGTCGGTAGAGTCTGTGGCCTTGGCCGCTCCGTCTAGGGCTATATCTCCGGAGGAGGGTCGGTCTGGTGTCGTCCGTCCTCAGAACGACTCGCCATCAGCCGGGGAGGAAGAAGGTCCGACCAAGAGGCGGAGGGTGGGGTTTGAGATGGATCCTCCGGCGGTGATCAACTTGGATTCACCCTCAGAAAACCCAGAGGAAGGAGTTGTTGCGACGTCTACCGCCGAGGGGGAGCAGGTGGTCAGGGCTGATCCTACCAGTCAGAGCCAGGGGAAATCCGCTGGTGTAGCGACCCAACCAGGAGTCCCTGCTGTTTGTGACGTAGGACCTCCCGTTGTTGCGGAGAGTCGGGTTCCTGATGCTGTCATCGTGTCTTCGAGCGCACAGTTGCCACCCTCAGCCGGTCGCGCCGCACCTTCGGCAGCTGAGAGGGGGAAGGGAGTAGTGATCGACGAGTACGAGTCCGAGTCTGACTTGGACCTCGATGACGTCTGGATGTTCGAGGAGGGCATTACTCAGTCGGTGGTCAATGCGGAGGGGTCAGCTCGTCTTGTTGAGATCCCCTCCGATGTGAACCTGTTGACATAAGGAGGCAACTTGGTGCCAAAATTCAGCTTGTTATGTTCGGAGGCCGAAAATGAGTCCCTGAGGAATGTTTCGGATGTCGAGGTAATGGATGAAGTAGCTGTGATGGGCTTACGGGTATGTTATATCTGATTTCGATTTGTTCCTCCGTCGTTGCAGAGTGAGCATTAGTTTAACTGCTTTCTTGTTTTGCAGACGTACATGTTGGAGGTAGAAAATATTCGTAGGGCTAATGTCCGGTCGAGGATATTTTTGCAGATGCTAGAAAAATACCGTCGTTATCATGATAGGTGACGTGAGTTGCACGAACGATTAAGGACTGATCCCCGCAACTGGGCTTTGGGCGAGGAGTTGGAAAAGAAGGACCAGGAGCTAATGCAGGCGCTCTGCAGCAATAGCGAGCTCGAAGAGCAAATCCGCCTCAAGGACGAGGAGCTTGAGATAGGCAAAGGGATTGCTGTGGAATGCGAGCACCTGCAGGGCAAGTTACGAGCAATGCAGTTGGAAATGGAGCAGAGCCAGGCCAGAACAGTGGAGATGAATGCCGAATGGAGCGGGAAATTGGCTGTGCTGGAAAGCAAGGTTGCTGATTTGAAGCGTATGGAGGAGGCAGCGTTGGATGCTTCGGCGAGGGCAGCGGCTTTGGAGGCGGCAATTCGCGTGCATGAATCCGAGCGAGAGTCGGAGAGAGCTACTGCGGCCCTTAAGGAGGCGAGGCTCGAGGAGCGGATCGGCGTTGCTGACATGGAGGCTTTGGCCTTGTCGGATCAGATTGCGGCCCTGGAGGAGGAGAATCAGCGATTGAGGGCCCAGGCTGGATCATCCCGTGACGCTGCTCCCCGCCAGGCTCATGAACTGCAGGTCTACGCCGAAGCTCAACGTGACATCTTCAAGAACTTGTCGGAGGTGGACACCGTGCCAGAGGCAGCTTTCGAGGAGGCGCGCCAGAAAGCTCGTAAGGCTCGAGCCAACTGTGGATATGATGAGGCGACACCCGAAGTTGATGGGGATGCCAGTGGCGATGATGATAACGACGGCGTTGGTGCTGTGTGAGAGATAATCGTATTTTTAGTTGTTTGTTGTCTCTTTTCTTTCCTCTTCTTTTTTATTGGCCGGCATAGATCAGATGTACGTGGCAATATCTCGCACTCCTGACTTCGTGAATAAAGAATTCTTCGCTTCTTGCTTTATATTTCAGTCCTTTGGTGACTTACGATCTACTCGCGGGGTGGGAGCTCATCAGACGGGTCCGCATTCCCCTTATGTGATGTACACCCGGTCGTAGGTTTCATTGTGGACTTTTCGAGAGGATAGCTCGTCTGGGTTTGAACGAGGTCGAACCTGTCGCGCCTTGAGGGCATTCAGTCAGCCTGAAGCCCCGTACGAGCGAGGTCAAACTGTCGAGTTTTGATGGCGAAGGCACTTAGCCTGAGTCCCAGTTCGAGCGAGGTCGAACTGTCAAGTTTCGACAGCGAAGGCACTTAGCCTGAATACCCGTTCGAGCGAGGTCGAACTGTCGAGTTTTGATGGCGAAGGCACTTAGCCTGAGTCCCAGTTCGAGCGAGGTCGAACTGTCGAGTTTTGATGGCGAAGGCACAGTCTGAATCCCCGTTCGAGCGAGGTCGAACTGTCAAGTTTTGACGGTGAAGGCACGTAGCCTGAGTCCCAGGTCGAGCGAGGTCGAACTGTCAAGTTTTGACGGTGAAGGAACTTAGCCTGAGTCCCAGTTCGAGCGAGGTCGAACTGTCAAGTTTCGACGGCGAAGGCACTTAGCCTGAGTCCCCGTTCGAGCGAGGTCGAACTGTTGCGAAGGCACTTAGCCTGAGTCCCCGTTCGAGCGAGGTCGAACTGTCGAGTTTTGGTGGCGAAGGCACTTAGCCTGAGTCCCCGTTCGAGCGAGGTCGAACTGTCGAGTTTTGGTGGCGAAGGCAATTAGCCTGAGTCCCCGTTCGAGCGAGGTCGAACTATCGAGTTTTGGTGGCAAAGGCACTTAGCCTGAGTCCCCGTTCGAGCGAGGTCAAACTGTCGAGTTTTGATGGCTAAGGCACAGCCTGAATCCCCGTTCGAGCGAGGTCGAACGGTCGAGTTTTGGTGGCGAAGGCACTTAGCCTGAGTCCCAGTTCGAGCGAGGTCGAACTGTCAAGTTTTGATGGCGAAGGCACTTAGCCTGAGTCCCAGTTCGAGCGAGGTCGAACTGTCAAGTTTTGGTGGCGAAGGCACTTAGCCTGAGTCTCAATTCGAACGAGGTCGAACTGTCGAGTTTTGATGGCGAAGGCACTTAGCTTGAGTCCCAGTTCGAACGAGGTCAAACTGTGGAGTTTTGATGGCGAAGGCACTTAGCCTGAGTCCCAGCTTGAACGAGGTCGAACTGTCGAGTTTTGATGGCGAAGACACTTAGCCTGAGTCCTAGTTCGAAATAGGTCAGTTCGAACGAGGTCGAACTGTCAAGTTTTGATGGCGAAGGCACTTAGCCTGAGTCCCAGTTCAAACGAGGTCGAACTGTCGAGTTTTGATGGCGAAGGCACTTAGCCTGAGTCCCAGTTCGAGCGAGGTCGAACTGTCAAGTTTTGATGGCGAAGGGAGGTCGAACTGTCGAGTTTTCGTGGCGAAGGCACTTAGCCTGAGTCCCCGTTCGAGTGAGGTCGAACTGTCGAGTTTTGATGGCGAAGGCACTTAGCCTGAGTCCCAGTTCGAGCGAGGTCGAACTGTCAAGTTTTGGTGGCGAAGGCACTTAGCCTTAATGGGTTCCCTGGGGGAGTCCCAATTTTGCTTGATTTTTCTTGCGTTGGGGAATATGATGCATTTCCTGTTCATGTATTTGGGAGAGTACTCTTGTTTCTATTCCATTTAGAGAAATAGTTAGTTAAAACAAAATAAAAGCGTTTGTTACCTCAGTTTGATCACGTTCCTTTCTCCGGTTATGCTTTTATTGGCCGCTACCAGTTTGGCGGGGCTGTCCGCTTTAATAAAGTTTTATGTCTACGGTGAGTCTTGAGCGGTGAGCTCAGGTGAAAGTTTCGATCTTTTCCGACGACCCATATGTCCTCTGATGCTAGAAATATCTATTCTTCTCTTCACAACTTCTAACTAAAGTCGTTGATTTTCCTCATATTTGGGGTGATTAAGCAAATGCAGAAGCTCTGTTAATTCATGTTTGTTTTTACTTGCCTTAACTTATTGTGACCAGAACGTAACTAGTATGAATGGGGATTCACCATGTAGCTAGTATGAATCAAGATTCGTGGTAAATCATACTTATGAACAGAACATGGAACTAGAATTGAATTCTAGATCTAGAGGAAACCGGAGGCACTCCATTCTCTTGTCCGGCGTTCGGGAGAGAAGAAAAAAGGAAGCGCTTTGCGTCACTTCTTTCCTCGCTCTGGCTGTTCGAGGCCTACAGGGCGGAAGATTTCTAGCTCCTACTGGGGTGTTCGGTTCTGCTCTTCTTTGTTTGATGCGCTTCCATTGGATCTGGTCTGAGCTGAATTTGTTCTTGGTGCTCCTTTTTCTTCGATCCAGGAAGAACTAAGTATTTTCACTATGAAATCCCTACAGACGGCGCCAAATTGTTTGACAAAAGTAAGTTAATACTTTTTAAGCAAATCAATCAATGTAGAGGAAGGGGTAAATCGTAGTGAACATTAATTAATACTGGATCGAAGAACATAATAGTATAGATAAAAGAATCGATTAAAACAACACCTGCAAAGTTTTTATTGATTACAGAAACTCAGGCTGCCTCCCCTTGGAGAGGTTCAGGAAATTACAATCGAAATCCCCCTTTCTTCCCGAAGATAGAATCCAGGAGTATCTTTCTCCTCTTCCCATGTCTGGTAGCCCGTCCCTCTTGGGGTTCTTTTTCCTTCTATTTACTAGCCCAAAATTCCTCATGGCTGGTCACATCGTTGTTTGGGCCGGGTCGGGGAAAGTGACCTCCCCTCTGGGGGGGGGGGGGGGGCCTCGACCTCGACACTTCTGTCATAAGTAGCAACCGTTAGGCGTCCTCGAATTTGCTGACTGCTACTGCAGGATGGGACGGGATGAGGTCCTTGGTGCTGTGGTCGTGTGGTCGGATTCTGACCAATACAAATACTAAGTGATTTTTTTCATTTGTCTAAGTTTTGGTGGGAAGAGTCACTTCGTGAATTTGCTGGTAAGAGGTATCAGGAGGATAATAATAACGATAATAATAATAATTAGAAAAGAAAGCATTCCGATGCACAAGGTATCACATAATCATGTATGGTCACCGGAAAGGTGCACTAATGCAAATATTAATGGCTGCTTTCACAGCTCAAACACCTAACCCGAACACCCGACTATTAAAAAGAAAAAAAGGAAACTAGACGGCAGCCACCTTCACAAAACAAAGAACCAAAACTCATCATCATGTGGAACGTGGACGGGGGTGTTTATTGGGTGAGAATTCTACATCATCACCCACAACTTTCATCTTACGAGACTTTCCCTTTAATTTCGTCTTCCTGTCTTTTATGTAAACCTTAATTTCCGGGTACTCACAATAATTTTAACAAATGACATTTGCAACATTTATTTAATATAACTAAATCAACGACAGATCAATATGATCAATTACAGGGTTGCACTTGCATAACATTGCCGGCATCTCACCGGAAAATTAATATTCTTATGTGCATTAGGAAATAGGAAAACCGTCAATTTCAATATTTATTTTTAATTTTCTAAGATTATTTTTTTTTATAATTTACTTTTATTGTTGGCATGAGATAAATTTAATTGAATAAACATTGTCCATCGGAATTTAATTGATCTATACAGGAAAACATAATACAAAGCAAAGCAATCTGATTTGCCGGTAACATACCAAACAAGAAAAGATAAGTGACTAATTGTTTATCATCTCTAAGAACAAAGAAGTGAGCTGGCCATCACAATTAATACTCAATAGATGCTTAAGTTTTAAGCCTTAACCTGATTAGTATATAGCAATTTGGATTGTCAATTGTCACTTTCTTCCTTGGCCATTCCACTACAGAAGGTGCCCAATATGATAGTGTATTAATTAATAAATATATGGGTGTGCAGTCGCATAATCACATGTATTTAAGGGATATCAACTAAAGTAACATTTTTTATCGAAAAATTACAATATA